CGGCTGGGCACCGGCGCTTGATGTGCAGATTTCGTGGCAGGCGCAGCGCTTTGTGAACCTTCATGCGCAGATTTCGTGGCAGGCGCAGTACTTTGTGAACCTCCGTGTGCAGATCTCGTGGTAGGCGCAGCACTTTGTGAACCTCCATGTGCAGATTTCGTGGCAGGCGCAGCACTGTGTGAACCTCCATGCGCAGATTTCGTGCCAGGCACGCAGCATCTGTGGAGCTGGAAGCTGAGAACTGGCGACTTTGTAGTACAACTTTAGTACGCGGAGAATCTGCGGAGCTGGAAGATGAGAACTGGCGACTTTGTAGTACAACTTTAAGTACGCGGAGTATCTGCGGAGCTGGAAGATGAGAACTGGCGACTTTGTAGTACAACTTTAGTACGCGGAGCAATCTGTGGAGCTGGAAGATGAGAACTGGCGACTTTGTAGTACAACTTTAGTACGCGGAGCAATAAGCTGAGAACTGACGACTTTGTAGTGCAACTTTAGTACGCGGAGTTTCTGGGGAGCTGGAAGATGAGAACTGGCGACTTTCTAGTACAACTTTAGCACAAGCGCCAAGCAGCATACATCCACCCACACACTGATACACACTGACGAACAAGCGCATACACACAAACACACACCTCACGTACACACAGAGACCCTCACGCCTTATATCTGTCTCGCCTGTCTCTTCCCCACGCTCACTCTTCCGCACTTTACCCCTGCAGCCTCAATCTTTCGAAGTTGTTCACATGTGGGGTTATCCGGTCCTATAATTCCTTTGCCTTCAGGTTTTGAGGCTCCTCCTGTCACCATGTGTTTCTGAACACGCTGAGGTTTACAAGGGAAGACAAAAGTTCACGATCCAATTCGTGGCCGTGAAAAGTGTTGAGAAGTGCAGACGGGAGAAAGTCATGACCGAGGTGGACATTCTGTCCAGTTTGCGGCATCAGAGTCTTAGCTTGCATCATGCTGACCGGGCGGGCCATGGCTAAACCAGGGTGTGAGAGCATTCAAGAAACTCAGAGTGCATCATGCACCAGGAACGTGATTGAATATGTGAACTGCTACGAGACGCGGAACCACCTGTGGGTGATTTTTGAATACTGCGCTGGTGGTGATCTTTTGCGTCTATTGAAACAAGATGGTCGACTTCCAGAAGAGCGAGTGGCTCGTCGTGAGCATTGGGTTGCGGTTTGTCTCTGTGTTTTTTGCGAGGGTGTGGTGGGTGAGGGCGTGTCAACGCATTTCAGGCATTCCCAAGACTAGCTTTGAACACGGCTGGGCATCGGCTGTGTGTGAAGAGATGCTACGCTTGTGTAAGAGATTAAACATATTACATACTAATGTGCGGCCAGCAGACTGGAGCTTTCCTGTCTAGCTTTCCCACCCGTTGATGTGCACCATTCTTTTGCGTCAATTTTTGCGAATGCCATTGCCAATGCTGTTGCGAAGGTGCGAGTTTTTGGTCATCAGATTTGTGCTGGCTTACTGTATGTGCATTCGCGCCTCTCGGTTGTGACGATCCATCTTAGAAAGCAATCCTTTTCATTTTCCTTTGCTCTTTTGAGTTCTTCATGTGGGTGCATTCAAGAATTTCCTGAAAGAGCCGAGGTGGCATCATTTTCTGTGACCTGAAGCCTGGAAACATTCTCTTCAACGAAGATGAGGTCTTGAAGCTTGGTCATTTTGCTCAAGCCTTGCGCGTGGAAGAGGCCTTCCCAAACAGGACTGGCCAGCCCTTGCGCCGGGGCGCGCCTCAGTACATGGCCCCAGAGCTTTTCTCGGAGGCACGGCATTGAGAGCTGAAGCTTTCACCCGTTGTATTCCTTTTCAAGCTTTTAAACTTATATATATATATATACAGTTTTATTTACACATAAATAAACAAATAAAAAAAATATATGAACCATTTCCATTTCGCAGGCGGGCGTCCATTCGTTTGTCTCCGACCTGTGGTCCTTGGGTTGTGTTCTTCACGAGCTCTTCTCTGGCGCGCAGCCTTTCATATCGCCATCCTCACAGCAGCTACAGCGCTTGGTGGTGGACACAGCCCCTCCGAAGATGCCAGGTGCAACACCGGAGTTTCAGGAGCACATAAGGGATTAGGAGGCTTGTTGAGACACCTTAACAACAACGCGCAAGACTTGCACTGCAGAGCGCTCAACGAAGAGTGAATACTGTGGCCTCCAAAGCTGCTAGAATATTGGTCCAGACTTGACTAATGTATATATACTCATTTACAAAAAGATGGCACAAGTAAAAGTGCTCCATATGCTACTTTTGCCTATGGAACAGCATATGAAAGGGATTCTGACCGTATAGATCGCACATTGTGAGGAGCCATCATATACACTCAGATGTGTGTTTTTTTTTTTTGGGGTGTGTGCCATCATATATACGGAAATCTGAGACATGAATCATGGTGTATATAGGCATGACACACCGAGCCCATTGATGGCATTTGTCAAGCTCGAGTTTGGACGTGCCATCAATTCGTAAATCAGTATATATATATATAGTCTTTTGCATTTGCCCTTCATAAACCTTTTGCAAATCGTCTGGTCTATTTGGCTTCAGGACCTTGCCCTGGGACTTCTGCAGCCAAGTGATCGTCGGCTGACGTGGCCCTCCTTACGGCAGCATTGCTGGTGGTGTGGCGAGCCACTTGGGGCTGACAATGATGTGGCTCGGCGAGGAGAGGTCAGACCAGATACTGTTTCCCTACACTTTGCATATATTCACTTGTTCTGATTCCGAAATATGCCAAACCACCACCTGACCGGTTCATGGTTATCAGAGGGACTATGTGACACACACAAGACGCATATATATATATATAACTTACTATATATATATATTATATTCACACAAGCCATCCTGCTTTGCAAAGTTGAGGCACAAGCGCTGCCCCGAGAGCCGCCACTCAAGTCTTGTAGAACGGTGTGAGATGTGGGAGCGCACGTGCAGACAAGGGGATGAAAAATGATGCGCGTCAACAGTTTGCCGATGTATATTTGTCAACGTGCCAAACATTGATGTTTACGAAGACACATCTTGTCCGACATCACCTGGCAGATCAACGTTCTTGCAAAGAAGCGGCCGCCCAGACGTTGGTCGTGGGCCTCAGATGTGTGGACGAAGTTAGTTTTGCATGTGTATATATATATATAGCATTTCATCGCTTTGCATTGTTTGTCTAGCTATCCCACTTTATACAGTGTACAGTAACATTCACGCACACACAAGCACACACACACAAACAGACAGACAGACAGACAGACAGACAGACAGACAGACAGACAGACA